ATTAGTTAGCATAAATCAGTTAAATGACGAAAAATTAGGCGTCTATTTACTTGTGACCACGCTGTGTAGGTGCATGTAAAGCATCATTCCTACTTTTTAATTGCATGCCATTCTATGACTTCACAGCTAGGAAACAAATTACAGCAATACTTTCCAGATACAAACTAGAACAGACTGCGTGGGAAATATCCTGAAAGATATTACTATTTGTTTGTTGTTTGTAATTTAGCACAAAGATTCACAATGTGCTATCCATGCAAGTATCAAAATCCAATTTTTAACGTTATAAGTCCGCAGACATACTGCTGAGATACTGAGGGGCTAAACTATTCAAATGCAATGATATTTCCTCAACCATAGAAAAATGTTTACGCGAAGAACACTAAAACATTTTATCAGTAACTCGAATGTTATTCTTTCAACAAGTTCATCATGAAAAACAAGCGAAATAAAATAAATAAGATAACGTATAAGATGGATACAAATGGTTTAAGTCAAGCGAACAAGCGACATTGCCTCGGTTCAACAGAATCTGTATCGTTAAATACAAATTCGGAATCTGTTTGTGCATTGCACGGTACGACCAAAGGTATTGGATTTAAGTCTAATTCTCTTTGGAAGACCATTGATCTTATTGACTGTCATACCTGTCGCCTCATATGTATTCCTGGGTCGGTGCCATTTCCTCTGGTTTGTTTAGAATAACGTTGGTCAAACCAGTACTGCTTGTGTGTTTTCTGATACTGACCTCTTCGTCTTCAGATGCAGATTCTCCAACAACTATGACAGGACAAAGTGAACGATCACGGTTATTTGTTCTGTGTAGCTTATGTCTGGAGTATAGTTGGGCACAATAGAATAGCACTTGGCATTTCTATCAGCATCAACATGGGAATCTGGAATTTGTTCGAATGGAATCGGGTTATTGTTGATTTTCTCTCCCACATAGTATTTTGTTTTTGTTTTTGCACGGTCATTTTCTATCGTATTTTTATGCTATGATCAAAGATTTAACAATTTTTAGGAAATTTCCATATCAAGGTGTGAAGAGTTTCTTATTACTCCCACAACAAGCAGTATTCTATAGTACATGAATATAATCAGGGAAATACGTCTTTAAATTATACAGAATGCCAATACCACCGTCTCTTGTTTAATCAGACGCATCGATTTTTTTATTCATTTACTGTAGAGACTCTAATTCTTCCTCTAGTTGAAATGCCTCCATATGATCGGTTGACAATTCATGACAAAATGTTTCAATCCTTTGTTCCGTTTGATGACTGTGAAAGTTAACTGTACCGAAAATCTTGCAAAAAATAAAACATTGAACTGCACGTTACTGTGAATGATGAATATTGAACCCATTTTCTTGTTACTACTCCTTCATTGGCAAGTCGTTATGTGTACTAAATCGTGATTTTTTCTCTCTTGTGTCTTTGAAAAATGTAAATGTCTGCAGCTATAATGGACCCACTTCGATCAACAATTGTCACGTTTTCGAGTCCATTTTTGGTCATTCAACTGGAAACCCCAAATCAACTACATGCACGTTTTCGTTTTCTGTCTGCTTTTACTCTTTTGAATTGGCTTTGTCATAAAAAAGGCGTGGTTTCTTTAATTTTTGAAACGTATTGGTCTTTTCACAGTCTTAGCAGTAGTAATTTCTTCACTCGTTCTAATGGTACTCTTTTCACTACAATTTTTTCACAGTCTTAGCAATAGTAGTTTCTTCACTCGTTCTAATGGTGGTGTTTTCACCTCATGGCCGGAAATGAACTAATGGTTATCGTGCCATGGTGTGAATCCAAATATTCATGGTTCACACTCCTTACTTTGGGGCTGTGATGGTCTAATCTCAATATTCGGTCAGACAAGAGTAACCCTAAAGTTTATAGTGAGTGCTGTTTGCTGTTGACTATCTGACTTCCTTGTAGTCTATTATTTCCAAATTAGAAAAGGCTAACACCCAAAGCGTTTTTAAGAAGCTTTGGAAAAAAAAAATTCGAAAGAAATGTATTTTCAGTTTTCTCTTTAATGTCCCGCGTTGCAAAAACTTGAAAAGAATGCCGTTTTGGTTTTCTAAACCTGCCTCCTTTCTGCATTTCTTTTTCGATACTGTGCATCAAAAGGACAACACCTTCCACCAGCAGCTTAACGACTTTTAATTCGCGCTGTTTTAATTAAACACTTTTTTTTACCTATAATGCACCCTTTCACAAACTTTTATAAATTTGAACATAATTTCATAATAATATCTTTATTCCGCGAACTTCGTGAAAAAACTTAGTTCAACCAGTTCGCATCTCGCTTATATGCCACATGGCCCAGTTTCAAGAACGTTTTTGAGTTCTTTATTTACACATTTGTGGAATGTTTTCATTGTGCGCGCTTCATGAAGAAACTAGACTGCACTGCGTAGAGAGGAAAATAAACACTCGCCTCCACTCCACCGTTGGTTATGCGCAGCAGATGTGCTCAACTACGGAATACGTAGCAAAAGAAGTGATATTATAAACGAGCAGCGACCTTAAAAAAAAACAAAAACGAAGTTATTGGTAAAAACTATTTTTATTTTGCAGCTCTTGGTATTTTGCTCTGTGTCTATCGTTTTTACACTGGCCCTGATTCTAATGTGTATAGCATATTGCATTTCTAATATTCACACTCAACTTAAAGTTGTTCTGCAATTATAGGGCCACACGTGCTCAACTGAATTAGGCAGTTCGGGATATTATGCAGAATTAACCGATATAATAAAGAGGTTAAGCTGTTATTATGCATCTGAACAACTTTTCAACTTCCATAAAATTTCATCCATTCTTGATTTAGAAAAGAGTATTCATCGCAAAGTCTCACCCGTAATGTTTTGCAAACTTTCTTATGTGAACGTTTGGAAACGGTTTGCAATAACTTAATAAAGAATCTTTCCATTTTCTCCTTTTCTGCATTTCTTTTCTGATACTGTGCATCAGAAGGACAACACCTTCCACCAGTAGACTGCTTAACTACTTTTAATTAGCATTGTTTCATTTTATTTTTTACCTATCATGCACTTTTTCACAAACTTTTAGAAATTTAAACGCAATTTCACAATAATATCTTTATTCTGCGCTTTTCATGAAAAATCTTAGTTTGTCCAGTTCATCACATGGCCTAGTTTCAGTGGGAACATTTCAGTTTAATATGTAGATATTAAACAAGAAATAAGAAACACGTGGTTTGTCCTGATTGAACATTTACTAAATAAGGCTTAGAGAACACCAGAACTTACTTTTCTTCATTCATTACGATTTCCATCTCTGAACTCATAATTGCCTTTATCCTCTCCTGAAGTCCTGGAAAACGATCTGGTGAAGAAAATACATCATATTATCTACTAATTAAAAACTACGAAAAACTGTAAAATGTGAATAAGTTGAAATAAAAGCATGAAACATTTCATTGAGATAATAAAGTAATTATAAGTAAAATATATGTATTACGTACTCCCCTCCCCCCCAATACACATTTATATGTCATTTCTAAGTTTGAATTTTGAAGTTCTGAACCTCTGGTTAGCGTGACGGGATCAGAAGCTTCAAGATCGCTAACACAATTCGTACCTTAATAAGGGTGAAAATCAGTTCAATTATTCGGTTTAGAGTCAAACAAAGACCTTGTGGCGGTGGATGTTGCTGACTGGCTTCTTTCCTTCTAATAAGTAGTTCAAACCTAGCTATACCTGAACCTTAGGAGTTTCTGACCTGGCTGTGTAGCCCATGTGTCACATAAGGTACCATTTAGGCTTGGACATTTGTGTTTCGGTTTGCTTGGGAAAATATCCCACGATCTAAGGAACACAACGTATCCTCTCCACTCTTGATAGTTAAGTTATGATAAACCTCTCCCTAACACTATTTTTCTTACAAGGACCTCTTTTTTTTTCACTAACGTTCTCAAGTACGTTATTTCACAAGAAGATCCTTTGCACAATTTCTGTGAATGACTAATATAGCCTATTTCAAGCAACTTTATTGTGATTTTTTTCAAATTTAATACCCATATCTGACTGACTGTAGCAGTTGTTTCTTGGATATTTCCCTTCCACATTTCTATGTAACACTCATGACTATCTGTCTCTTTATGACAATATTGATGGAGCAGCATTATTATCTGATAACAAATAATTTAATATATTTTCTAAGTCACTATCATTACACTTTTGATAAATAGATCATAGGCTATAAAGCATTAGATATTGATATATCGCTTCCTCTCATATTTTACATTCCTATGGACATAACTTTCAAGGTACCTTGAGGTAATGGATATTTTAAAAAGATTACAAGCAATAACTGCAATCTTAAATGCGTTTTTGAAGCTTTTTGATTGACCATCATTATTACGTTTTCAGAAGACAGCACGATTCATCTATCCTGCTCTGTGTTCTTTACGTAACGTTTCCTATGATCGTTAATTCAGCTTCTTTAGATAACGTTTGCTACTTATCAAGTTCTTAAATATTTTGCTTTGTCTATTTCTGTAATGAAACGGGTGAGCATTTACTTTCTTAGGCCTATTATAATTTTTTCAAA